GGTAGCTGTCTATTTTATTCACATGACATATGTAGTGAATGCCACTGTGTCCATTTTTCCTTCCCCTGACTGTCAGTGGTAGCTGTCTATTTTATTCACGTGACAAATATAATGAGTCCCACTGTGTGTATAGTGTCTGCTGCTGTCTGTCAGTGGTAGCTGTTTATTTTATTCACTTGACATATGTAGTGAATCTCACTGTGTCTATAGTTTCTTCCGCTGACTGTCATTGGTAGCTGTATATTTTATTCACAAGACATATGTAGTGAGTTCCACTGTGTCTATAGTTCCTTTCGCTCACTGTCAGTTGCAACTGTCTATTTTATTCACAAGACATATGTAGTGAGTCCCACTGTGTCTATAGTTCCTTCCGCTGACTGTCAGTGGTAGCTGTTTATTTTTTCACGTGACATGTGTTGTGAGTCCCACTGTGTCTATAGTTCCTTCCACTGACTGTTAGTGGTAGCTGTCTATTTTATCCACATGACATATGTTGTGAGTCCCACTGTCTGTCAGTGATAATTGTCTAGTTTATTCACACGACATGTGTTATGAGTGCCACTGTGTCTATAGTTTCTTCCGTTGACTGTCAGTGGTAGGTGTCTATTTTATTCACATTACGTATGTAGTGAGTCCCACTGTGTCTATAGTTCACTCCTGCTGCCATTGTAGACCATTGTGTCTGAATATCCAGTATTTTTAATTGAAAAAGATAGTTTTGTTTTCTTGATTGCGGGCTGCCCTTGCCAAACACACATACTTTCGATTTCTCCAACTTTACTTGAAGTTTCCAATTCTAATAATATAATTCTGGGGCTTTCTGGTAGCCTTGTGGTTAAGGCCTTCGCTCGTCACGCTGAAGAACCGGGTTCTGTTCCCCACATGGGCAGTGTGTGAAGCCCATTTCTGGTGTCCCCAGAATGTTGCTAAAAGCTGCGTATAATTAAACTCACTCACTCACTCACATAATATATTTCTAACTAATAAGTCAAATGTGTTGGTAATATCTCTTATATTCTTAGAGTTTGTAAGGAACAGGTTGCAAGATTGTTGGAAACAAACATGGGCTTATACCATAGGTGAAACCTTAAGTTTAATCATTATTTCATAATCAAATCTTTGTTACAACTTGAAAGGCATATGTACAACTTGAAAAGTAAACATTTAAGATTTGTTCTTAGTAGATTCAGATATGGAAATCATACATTGGCATTAAAAACAGGTCGGTGGGGAGGAGTTGCTAGAGAGGACAGAATATGTAAATATTGTTTTGATAATTTGAATGTATCTGCAGTTGAAAACGAAGTGCACTTTCATATTATTTGCATAACAAGTTGAGAAACAAGTTTTTACCAAGTGCTTGTAGTGAGTGAGTGAGTGAGCGGGTTAGTTAAAATCTAAAGTCACTTTGGCAATATTTCAGCCATATCGTCACTAAATCAAGTTATAATTAATACTAATGAAAGGTAAATCATAAAAACCTGTCAACGAAGGACAGTAAAACATCTAGATTATCACAGATAGACATTTAAAACTAGAAATTAAATCTAAAACATTGTAACTACACATGACAAAACAATATAAAAACAGGCTATAGATTGCCAACAACCGACGGGGGATCACCATACTTGGGACCATGGGGACTTACATTAATGGACCCTAGCTGGATTTACACCATTCCTTCAGCTGTCAGCAATTTCAAGTGTTTGCACATGCAATTTATTTATGTAAAGTAGACACATTTAAGAAAGTTACGACAGATAATGCTATGTTAGAATCTTTAGCTCTGTATATTCTGAAGTGCACACAAATCAAATAGCCGAACGTTTAACAGCTAAGGGAGACAACTGACAATTTTATGAATGCTTCATTTACATTTGGTTATGGGAAACTTGATCATTATTATTGTTAATGATATACATTGTGACTCGAATTTGAATGTATCTGCAGTTGAAGAAGTGCACTAATCACTTCATGTCATTTGTATAACAAACTGAGAAACACGTTTTTACCAAGTATTTGTACAAGTAATTCATGTAATGTAGACAACCCTAGACAGTTATCACAGATAATACTATGTCAGAATCTCTAGCACTTTCTTACTTCATGTCATTTGTATAACAGGTTGAGAAACAGGTTTTTTACCAAGTATTTTTAAAAGTTATAAAAAGTTACACTGGCAGATAACACTATGTCAGAATCTTTAACATTGTATTCTTAAATGTACACAAATCAGACAGCTGTATGTTGACAGCTTAGGCAGACAACTGACAACTTTACCAACGCTTCATTTAATTCTGGTGAAGGGGAAACTGAACCATTATACTGACTGACTGAGTTTAGGTTTACGCCGCTTTTAGCAATATCCCAGCAATATCACGGCGGGTGACACCAGAAATGGGCTTAACACATTGTGCCCATGTGGGGAATCGAACCCGGGTCTTCGGCGTGACGAGCCAACGCTTGAACCATTATAAATGTTAATGATATACACTATGACTTGACTACACATACACTATATATGTATATACATGTACTCTGGGCTGGAAGCCTTTGATAAGGAATAAACAATCTTGAATTTTGAAATCAAATCACATTTAATCCTACTCGATTGCCATATATAGAGGATATTATATGAGTGCCCATGTCATACTATGCTTACAACACGAGTGCCTAAATGTTGGTATTTCCCGAGCAAGAACGAGGGATATACCGATATTTAGGCACGAGTGTCGTAAACATACTACGATATGGGAACGAATATAATATTCTGCTTATTACCGAAGTCGTCAAATTGAGGAAAATAAACCCAAATCTATTAAGTATTTCAAATATAGGCTGGCTACCCGTCTCCGCCGTATGTAGTACCCAACGTCACAGAAGAAACGTGACGTCATAGCATTGTTCATGACGTCACGTCACCATGAGAAAGTGATATTTTGCCCTAGGGCATGAAAAATATGAAAATCGTATGAAAAATATGAACCCTGATATTTTCGCCCTCGTAGGTGATAAAATGCAATATTCCACACAACCGCAGAGTGATGAGCTTGTATTTCGGGAGTGTTTGACTGTTCTATTTTATCAACGTGTGTTGTCAGTACATCAGATGTGTACTGTCAGCGTCTGACACAAATTCGCATAAAAGGCTAAGGGTTGCCTGACGCCACAAAGCAGTACTCCTGCTGCAATTACAAATCAGTGAGTAAGGTGACTGTGACGAGAACACATGACACAACAGTGCCTTCACTGAGTTTGTTGAAACAAAAAGTACAGTTTAACGTGGATTTACTTCCGCTGCGTACAGTTGCAGAGACACCGGCGCAAAGAGAAATACTTAACAAATAAGTCTGCGTGCAACACATGGGGTCCAGTTACAAAGTCGACCAAAGATGTTTTTGTAGATGACGTTGATAAATGCCACTGAACATATACACATTTCTGAAATATAGCTTTCAACAATGAACATGTTGTTTACATATAGGCACGATCAAGTTAGATATCTTCCATACTAAGCTTGAATGGACGAGCTGGCTAAGGCGCCAGGCTAGTGATCCAGCGAGCATGAGGTGCCGAGATCGAGCCTACCTGTGACCGGGCGTAAACACCTTGGAGTCAACTGTGTGTGCAGACTCTTTCAGTGTTGTCACAACTCCTAGTGTACAGTACATAGCCATGTACACTTAAAAGAACCCGCGAATCTGGTATATGACCGGATGGTGGCCATATGAATACGTGCAAACACCTAGTTGCGGGTACAGCAACGTGCAGTAAAGAATTGGACAAAGTACTGTGACTATGTGTCCCAGTCCACCCAGCTGTGAATGGGTAGCTCGTAAGGATGGGAAAGCCGCACTAACTTGGTGCGCCTTGCGGCGGCAAGAGGTATTAACCCAGGGAGCTGAGATTGATAATAAAATGTGCCGTTGAGATTGACATCCAATGATCGAGGGAAAAAATACCAGCGCCTTGGGCATGCACAAGTGCGTGGATATGTTGCGCTCTATAGATATCCAATAATAATAATAATAATAACTCCTTTGCCTGGATGAAGTCGGCTGGTCTTAAATGTGAAACTGAGGGCTTTCTTTTTGCTGCTCAGAACCAGTCACTTCCCACTCGTAATCGTCAAAATGTGATTCTTAAAGAAAATATTAACATGAAATGCCGACTGTGTAATGAATTTACAGAGACTGTCTAACACCTTGTCAGTGGATTCTCTTCCTTGGCACAAACAGCATATCTTAAGAGACATGATGGCTGCTTTTATTACCGTCTTCGCCATGCCTGTGGCTTTTACTCCGAGGTCCATCCATGGTAAGACCCTGAACATGTCCAGGGCGTCATGGAAAATGATGCTTTCAAACTTCTGTGGAATAGGCCCATCTGCAGCTTCAGAAGAATTCCAGCCAACAACCTGACCTTGCCCTTTTTGATAAAGCCAATGAATCTATTAATGTCATTCAATTTTCTGTCCCGTTTGACAGCAACGTTATTGGCAAGATTCAGGAAAAGCATTCTAAATATGCGGACCTCGCCTTTGAAATGTCTCGCTTGCATCCCAAGTACACTGTCGTCAGGCTCCCCATTGTTCTCGGTGCCCTTGGCGTGGTACCCCCTGATCGCTTGGCGCAGAGCACAGCTCTTCTGACACTCTGGGTAATGCCGAAGGCTGCAGTGTTGGGGAGTCTACATATTCGCCGAAAAGTTCTTGGTGGGTTCGACTAGGCAGCGTTTCCTGGGTGAAGTCCCATCCGGTGTCTGGGCTGCGTGTAGAGGGGGCAAGGGCCCTGAACTGATGATGAGCCTTACCAGCCTGACTGTGCCAGGATCACCCGAACCCTCTCTGCTGCATACTACTTTTAATCTGTGAAACATAATAATGATGATAATAATAATATTATAAGTATAATTGGAAATTACTAAATATTCTTCTATAGCTGGAAAGAAGTGTTCGGTAATTGTTGTTTGATACTGACCAACCTTCTCATATTTTTCAGTGTTTGGGCAGAACATCCGACTAGTGTCCCCACTGGACAATGGAGTTGGGAGACTTGAGGTGTACTATAACGGCACATGGGGCACGGTGTGTGACGATGACTTTGGTGCCGATGAAGCTAAAGTGGCCTGCAAAGAACTAGGACGATAGTAAGACGCCATGTTTAAAATATTACTAATGTTTATACAAGATATTTTCATATGGTCAGAATAACGGTGTTAAACAAAACAAACCATAATCATCAGTGTGATGAGAATGAGAACAATGATAAATGCGAGGTTATCACGTCCGACGTAAATATACTAGCCACAAAAAGAAACTGTGTTCATAGGAAGAACAAATGCATATTTGAACTACACGTGTAGACACATACAAATGAGAATGCAGGAATTAGTAAATTGAACTGAACAGATATGTATGCGCTACGACTGGAATCGAGAGCAGAATGTCAAGTTCGATCCCCGACCGCGTCAAACCAAAAGACGTTAAAACATGGTACTTGTGGGTCCCTGCATGGCCCTTGGCATGAATGGGTACAACAAGGACTGGTCGGCTCGGAATCAGTATAATGTGTCTGAGTGGGGTATTCATGCTTCACTGCGGCATGGTATCTCAGTCAGCTACCACTATAAAACCAGCTGTGTAGATCTGTGATGTATTGAGGTAGTCGAAGTATGTATGAAAGATAGTTGGACACCTTATCGTGATGGTAGATCTGTTATATACAGAGGAGGTGGAGGTAAGTATGAAAATAGCTGGACACCTTACAGTGATGGTAGATCTGTGATGTACTGAGGTGGTCGAGGTATCTATGAAAATGGTTGGATACCTTAAAGTGATGGTAGCTGTGTGATGTACAGAGGAAGTCGAGGTATATATGAAAATGGTTGGACACCTTACAGTGATGGTAGATCTGTGATGTACTGAGGTGGTCGAGGTATCTATGAAAATGGTTGGATACCTTAAAGTGATGGTAGCTGTGTGATGTACAGAGGAAGTCGAGGTATGTATGAAAATAGTTTGACACCTTGCAGTTATGGTATATCTGTGATGTACTGAGGTAGTCGAGGTATGTATGAAAATGGTTGGACGCGTTGTAGTGATGGTATATCTGTAGTAGTAGAAGTAATGGGGGTATGAGATCACTTTCAAGAAAGGTCGCTGTAAAGGCCCTTAGATCTCGCCCCCATCGTGTCTACTACTTTTGAATCCACAGTTAACTTCCCTACCCCACGTGCCACTTCCTGATCAAGTGATAGCTCTATGTCTTGTGAAACAGTTTAATGTTTCGCACCCCTTGTTCTATGTACTGTTTTTTCTCGTCTTCGCCGATAGCAGACTTACGAGACTTGAGCCGGATTTCTTGTTTCATCTTACGGTACTTATCGAGTTCAGAGAGGATTGAACGAGATTCCTCCTCTGAGATCTTACTGTCAGTGAGTGCTGTAGAAATACGCTCACTTACCGTGTACAGCTTTGCTTCAGCCAGAATCCTGATCTCGTCGTGTTTCAATGCCTTCCGGTGCAGTCTGCGTGACACAAACTTAAACACCATCCAGCCAACCCGACACCCCAGCTGTTATTTCGATGCCTAGCACTGGTGGCCATAAGGGCGGTATCAACACCATCCACGACATTGAAAGCTCTATGGTACTTCTTATACAATGCTGCCCGTGTGTCGCGGTCTTGTTCTAGTTGGCGTTTTATGTCACATAACCGTTTCAAGCGGAACCCGTCTATGGTTTCCAGTGGCTTCGGGACTTCCTCTGTGACTGGGTACAACCCCATTCTGTGTGCATATAATATATCTTATGGGATATTTTTTAATTGGGCTTCAGTTAATAGTCGATCAATGTACTTGAGGCTTATAAGGTGTAGATCCTTATGCAGGGGAATAGGTGAGAGGTTCATAGGTAACTCTGCGTCCACACGAGCCCCATAGGAGGGACTTATTGAGGGGGCTATAGAACCCGTTGAGGGGTCCGGTTGTATGATGATACGGTAATGTTGGTCATTGGTCCGGGGACTCCAGTGTACTGTCACCCCGGGTAAAAGTTGTTGCTCTTTACTAACAGAATGTCTGAGGAGATAGACTTCTATGATGAGTGTGGAGCCTGGTACCATAGCCGGAACCTCCTGGTACCAGTAGCGGTTTAACCTTTACTCACCCCCCTCGTATGCCTGTAACATATTGGGTAAAACCGGTCTTACAATAATATTTGTATTAGACCCCGGAATGAAACCCCCGGGCAAGGTACCGTTATTCCTAATTTCAGAGATACGACTATGTTCGTTTAATGAAATATAAGGGTCATATTGAGCAACCATTCGGGTTCCTTTAAGCTTGCCAAAGCAATCGGCCTATACACGTGGCCGTCAAAGTGCAGGACGTACGAGGTGTCTTCCTCACCAGGCAGATCGAATCCCTCCGTGTCTCCTAGACCCCCGAGTGTGATTTGGGGTAGATGATCGGCCATTGCTGCCCGCCTATACACGTTGTCTTTCAAGTGTAGGACGTACGAGGCATCTTCCTCGCCGGGCTAATCGAATCCCTCTATGCCTCCTAGACCCCCGAGTGTGATTTTGGGTAGATGATTGGCCATTGCTGCCCGCCTATACACGTTGTCTTTCAAGTGTAGGACGTACGAGGTGTCTTCCTCGCCAGGCTGATCGAATCCCTCCGTGTCCCCTAGATCGTTAAGTGTGGCGTTGGGGCGATGATTGGACATTGATATATTACCATAAAGAGATAGTTTCCAATTGTTTTTCTGATAATTTCTCAGGGGCGCACTTCAACACCATGAAGTGTATGTTGTTGGGTAGGAAGATCTTTGGTGAGTGATATCGTGTCTTCCAACCTGACACTGGTGCCGTTTCACCCACCGGAGATTGACCCCCTTCACGATTTCGACTTCATCCTGCGATCGTTCCCCTAGGTAGACTTTGATGATCAGAGTGGCGTTCTCTGGTAGACTCTCCAGGATGTTGACCATGCCTTCGAATTCAGACACCAACTGCAATGTCACGTTTTGCACTCCCGGTTTTCTCGATAGTATGTGGGCTGCCATACTGGCGGCTCGCTGATGACTACGCTACGACTCTGAGCCGGGACGAAAGCCACGAGCAGAGTTCCGTTGTTCACGACTTTGTTTAGGTAGTTGTCTTTGTTCTCTGTGAACACGTAGGGGGAGCCGAGCCTAATATTGAGAAACCAGTCGACTTTAGCGGGTAACAACACCCACTTGTCATCGTCGGTGAAGACGAGCGTATATGGCTTGTTTCGGGCGACGGTAGTGCTCTCAATATCTTCTATGTTGAACAGTTCGTCCCCGAACGATGGGTATACTATTCATTTATCATCACCGGTGCTGACTAGGGTGTACCGAGTGTTGACGACTGCTCTTGAGGTATCTACTATATCACCTAGGGTTCCACTGGAGGGGACTTCAACGCGTTTGTAAATGTTGTTTTTCAGTTGCAAGGCGTACAATTTACCATCTACTCCGGGGTCGTCGAATCCGCGTGTGTCCCCGAGGTCGGATATCCCCGCATTGATGCATTTTTTCAACCTCACCCCGGGGGCCTTGTGTGCTAGTCATTTTATGTGCAGCGTTATGCTGAGGTATCCTATATTCACAGGAATATGATTTATATCTAACACCGATATTATCAGCTCAGGGATGTTGCCCCGGGTTAACCTCTTATACTGCCGCGGTGAAAACGACTCGGTTCTGCCGTCGTTGTATTTCTCCGTTTTCACCAGTACGGCTCTCAGTATCGTGGAAGGGTGCCCACCTTGAATGTTGTCCGTTGTGCTCAGCTGGCCGAGATGAATGCACAGCTCTTGGTACGGTACTAGGTCGGGTAACTTCGTGCCTGTGACGGTAGTCGTTGGTTTTATCTCATCAGGCGGCATACCGAGTGTCCTCGCCAATAGTCGGCCGAGCCTCAAGGAGTTTCTTCCGTTGTTGATTAACACCACTGTGCCGTTTGAGTCGTTCATCTTGAGTTCGGCTCCCAGGGGCTTGAAGACCTCATCGCTTAGCGAGCACACGCTGTAGTAGCCGTCAGTTATCTGGTTGCGGGCGCCACTGACGAACAGCTTGTTGTTGTTGACGTTGATGTTAGTCCATCGCGGTAGGTAGGTGATATCGCAGAGTGCGACTTCGAGTTGACCCGACGTGTTATCGATCGCGGGCATCAGCTGAACGGCCTCGCCGCTCGTTATTCTTGGAAGTGTTATGTACATGTTAGAGTATATATACTCATTATATAATACTTTAAAAATGTACTCCCCGGGAGTGTTTTACCCTAAACTGGACATAGATTTCCCACACAAGATCGTGGTCGCTACTGGGATGTATTTCGACGCCCAGTTTATAGATGTGTTCGACCGGTATAAGCTTTCGGTGACTAACGCTAAGGTAGTTCACGCTTGGTTCAACAAACCGATGCAGTTCTGGCAGAATCAACTCAACTTCGCCGTGTGGTGCGCTACAACGGGGTGTGGTGTGACATTGACCGACACTCGGCGTGGACCGCTGAGTCAGTCTGTGTTCACGTTCCATGTGTACTACCAGATCAGACGTATCCTCAAAGAGATCAGCGCTCCACTCCCACAGGACAAAGCATGGGACGCAGTAAACAACCAGTACGATAGACGGGCCAACGCAACGAATTCGAACTAAACCCGAAGACGGATTGGCGTTTGCCGGGGCCGAACCACGGGTTGGGTATCCCCATCACTCACAATATGCCTATCGTGGATGCCAACGAGAAGATGAAAGAATGGGGGGTACAAGTCGTATCATCACCTCACAACAAACGAGTGGGATGACCGTTACATGGCTTTCGACAACAGCAAGGATTACCGAGTCTGGAGGTTCGAGCAGGGGGCAGCGGATGACTGGAAAAAGTTCATGTTGGACACGTCGAGAGGGTTCACTCATGCCGGTGTAATCAGATTGAACGACTCGATTCGAACGTACGTGTGGGCGCTGTTGGGTGCGCAGACGCAAACGCGTTCCAACATCCTCGGTAAGGGGACTGCTTACGACGCTCAGAAACAGTTCGTTGTTAACGTTGAGGATGCTATCAATGCTCCAGTTGATCTCCCGAGTGCCATCAAACGCTACCAAGACGTGTTGGA